AGAAAAAGATGAAGGTGGAGTTTTTTTTTTTTTTTTTTTTTCTTTTGAAAGAAAAAACTTTTGACTTGATTAAAATTAGGGGTGAGCGCGGATCAGTTACGATCATGAAATCTCCAATCCGCTATTCGTCTGCCGGATTGGCGGATTAGAGAAAATCAATCCGCATCCGTTAGCCAATCCGGAGGGTGCGGACTGGTGGATAGACGGATGGATGCGAATTGGGTTAACAGTTTAAAATTTTACAAATTTTCAACATAATTCAATATATGCACTTCCTAAAAAAAAAGAAAAAAAAAACACAAACATGTGTGTGCACTTCCTTCCTCAACCACCACCTGTGTGCAATGGGCAAACATATACACCAAACAACAAACAAACAACAATGATTCATCACACTAATTTGGGAGCACTAATTGACCACTAATGAGGCGGAAATTCAACAAGAGCAAAACATCCCATCATGTGGGACTCACACCACTTTAGAACTATTAGTGCTCCTCTTTTTAGTGGTCTCACTCATTTTTCAACAAACAATAAAGTGTAGTTTATTTATGTACTTGACTAGGCAAAATCCCTAATACAGTTAGAGTTGCTATCACCCAGTGGCCATATCTGTGACGAACTGTAGAATGTTCAACTCTCTCTTTCTCTCTCTCTCCCTCTCCCCCTTTCTATTGGGAGTGCTCGCGGTTTGACAGTATGGTTGTGGCCAAAGGAACTTCAAATTTGTCATCTGTCCAAAACTAGGTGGATTAGAAAAATCAATTCACAATCGTCCACTCGTCATCACGCATCCGTCCAAAATACGCCGGATCGGTTTGGTTCGGTTGATTTTAGCGGATCGAAATATTCGTTGTTCACCCCTAATTTCACCCCTAATTAAAATGTATATGAAAAAATTAAGAAGACAAAAAAGACCCCTTAAGGTTTAACCTTATAACAAAATAAATTCATAATTTTTTATTTTCTTAATTTAAATCTTGGTGTTTTGACTAGTACTCAATCTAACTATTTGTTAATTTTCGTTAAATAAATTTGACAAAAAAATAATATTTTAGTTATTAAATTTTATGTAAGTGTACATAAAATGTGTAAAAATTAATTTATCGTTGAGTTAATTGAGTAAAATACTATTTTTTCCATCGGTTTATTAGAAAAAAAATTAAAATATTAGGATTTAAATTAATAAAATTAAAAATTAAAGATTCATTTTATTACAAATGTCAAACCCTAATTCTTTTTTTAATGTTTTACAATTTAAATTTATTTCTACATATTATAAAGATTCATTGTAAATATGATGAGGCCAAGCATGACTTTTTAACTTTTTTGTGAGAGAAAAAAAGTAGGTTAAAAGCTGGGAAGTGGCTTTTAACCCACTTCTCAAAATAAGCCTTAGATTATACATAGTTATGACTAATAATAATATTATTTTAGTTACAATAAAAAAAAAATTAATCATACTTTATGTGATGATTGAATATAATTTTTGTTTGTGAGATAGTTTTTCTTTGCATTTGTTAGCATTATATGAAAAAATATAAATATTATTTTTGTTTTTTAATTTATATTTTTTGTGAGATAGTTTTTCTTTGCATTTGTTAGCATTATATGAAAAAGGGTAAATTACACTGTTACCCCTGAGGTTTATATTTATTGTAGTTCATTCCCTCACCTTTTGAAAATTACATCTCCCACTGAGACTTAAAGTTTCATTATAGATTCCCTTCTTAGCAATTTAATTCTTTTAATGGTAAATTACATTGACACTCCTTGAGATTTATATTTATTATAGTTCCCCCTCACCTTTTGGAAATTACATCCCCCTCCCTGAGGTTTAAAGTTTCATTACAGATTGCCTCTTGAGGTTTAAAATTGCATAACAGTTCTCCCCTCACCGTAATGATTAACATACATAAAATTATATTAACAGGAGGATCAGTGTAATTTTTCAAATGTGAGAGGAGGGAACTATAATAAACATAAACCTCAGGGGGTGTCAGTGTGATTTACCCTTTTTTGAAATACTAATTTTGCCCTCACTGGGTAAATTACATTGACACCCCTCACATTTTAGAAATTACAATCCCTTCCCTAAGGTTTAAAGTAGCATTACCAATTGCCCCATCGATTAGTATTAGTTGGAAAAAAAAATTCATTGAAAAAAAAATAATTGGAAAAAAAATTATTTGAAAAAAAAATAAATTGAAAAATAATTTTATTAGTAAAATTTTTAAATTTCTGTTTAAAAACTAACGTAAACTCATTTATTGAATTTACGTTTTTTCCTTAAATTTACAAATTGAGGCAACCATTTTATAAATAAATAAAATTATCAAATAACTTTTTATGACAGTTTTTAAAATTTTTGTAAGTATAAATTGAAAGCTAAAAACAAAATGGTTACTAAATAGGCTTCAGATGGTAAAAATGTCATAAAATTAATAAATAATTAAATAAGTTACCGACGTAAGAAATGACTTATCAAAATATTCTTAGGCTATGTATGATTTGATGTTTAGAAATTTTTTTTAAAAATTAAAAATTAATTTGGTTAAGAAATAAAAAATAAAAAATAATTATCATTTTTATATAATTTTTATCTTTCGAGTTAGGGGTAAGCATGGTCCGGATTTGATCGGATTGGAGTAAAATCAGAACCAATCCGTTATCTACGAATCCTAAAAAATTGGAATCAATCCAATCCGTTTAAATCGTGGAACCAATCCATTTAAACACGGATTGGATCAGTTTAGGACCACGGATTTACATAATTAAATAACAAAAAATATATATATAACACTTTAATTTCATAAAAATATAAATATAGCACCATATTAGTTTCACAATAGCAACATGTCTTTTCGTAATAGAGACAAACTGTTTTAGAATTTTAACAACCATAAAAAAATTAGTTCCACCATAGGTATTTAGACCATTACAAATTAACACTAAAACTAGCAAATAAAAGTAATAAAAGAATACACTATACAAGTTTAGGTTTGGATTTAAGTTTTATATGAAATAAGAGAAGATACTATGCAAGAGGGCGTATAATAAAAATATAGACTATTTGTATACGGTCTGGATCGGTTCCAATCCGGAACTGTGGGGTTCAATCCGAAACCAATCCGTGAATTACGAATTTTTAATTTTTTAATTCGGAACCGAACCACGGATTCAAAAAATCAATCCAAATCTACTGGATTGGATTGGACTGGATCGGATTACGGATTTCACGAATTCCTTGCTTAGCCCTATTTCGAGTGGTTAGAAATAATTTTTTACAAATTAAATAGAAACAGCTATACATATGTATATAACTTGCCCAAAAGTTTAAATGATAATTATTTTTTACTCTTAAATGATAATTAATTTTTATTTTTTATTTCTTAACCAAATTAATTTTTAATTTTTTAAAAAAAATTTTAAAAATCAAACCATGCATAGCCTAATAATCTTTGATAAATCATTTCTTACGTTGGTAACTTATTTAATTATTTGTTAATGATACGACATTTTTACCGTCTAAGGTCTATTTGGTAACTATTTTGTTTTTAGTTTTCAATTTATATTTACAAAAATTCTAAAAACTATCATAAAAACTTATTTAATAATTTTTTTGATTTATAAATGGTTGTCTCAGTTTGTAAATTTGAGAAAAAAACATAAATTTAAAAAATGAGTTTACGTTGATTTTTAAACAAAAATTTAAAAATTTTACTAACAAAATTTTTTTTTCAATTATTTTTTTTTTCCAACTAATACTAACCGAGGAGGCAATTGGTAATACTATTTTAAATCTTAGGGAGGGGATTGTAATTTCTAAAATGTGGGAGGTATCAATATAATTTACCCAATAAGGACAAAATTGATATTTAAAAAAATTAAATTGCTGAGGGGAGAATCTATAATGAAATTTTAAACCTTAAGAAGAGATGTAATTTTCAAAAAGTGAGAGAGAAAACTGTAATAAATATAAATTTCAGGGGTGTCAGTGTAATTTACCATATGAAAAAATATAAAATAAAATAAAAAATAAAAAATAAAGAAAGAGGAGGGAGAGTCCGGGGAGACAAAGTCGCCGGCGAAAGCGAGCCCTAATCTTCGCGTCAGGATCGTCTGAAGTTTAAATCCTGAAGTCATCTCCTAAAGTGATCCATCGGATGGTCGAAATTAAATCTCACCAAAACGACGTCGTTTTTGTGAGTAATTTAACAAAAAAAAAAAAAAAAAAAAAAAAAAAAAAAAATCAGATCTATTTCTTGTTCTTGTTCCTGTGATTGTGAAGCAGAGCATTAGAGAGACAGAAAGAAAAAATATTTCTTCGTCGGAAATCATCGTTGTTATCTCTCTTTCTCGATCGAACCATCCGATTTCGCACCAGAATCGACTAACCAGACAGCAGGGCAAGAAGGTGAAGTACCTGACTTTATTTAAGGTTTATTATTCCTTTCTATCTCACTTGTGTGTGGGTTGTGAGGTTTGAGTTACAGAGTCTCTCTCTCTCTCGCTCTCTCTCTTCTTTGGAACTCTGAGAGATCTCTCAATCTCAAACCCATCTACCCAAGTTCAATTCCTGAAACATTATTGTTGTCTTTGTGGGTTGTGAGGTTTGACTAATTCTATAGATACATATTCTGATATATATATATATATATATATATATTTATATACACAAAAGTATTCACTTTGTTGTTGGGCTATGGAGCAATGGAATCGAAAACCAAGTTTTTCCAGTAAGGTATTCAATCAATGCATACAAACCAATACCTGTTTGGATCCTCCTCTTCTCTCAACCCTTCTCTTTCTCTCTAATGCTCTGCTTTACAATCACAGGAACGAAGAAATAGATCTGAATTTTTTTATTTTTTATTTTTTCAAATTACTCACCAAAACGTCGTTTTGTGAGGTTCAATTTCAACCATTGGATAGATCACTTTAGGAGATCACTTCAGGGTTTAAACTCTAGAGGATTTTTTTTTAAATTCTCACCAAAGTTTTGGTGAGATTTAATTTCAGCCGTTAGATCCACTCCCCACATCAACTTCTCCTCCAAACTCTTGCAAAATCCCCCATATTTCTCAGCTCTGCACAACTACAACCAAAAAAACAAAAAACAAAAGACACATCTTTCTCTGGGAATTGATTGATTGATTGATTGCTTTATTCATTGATTGAGTGTATATGTCGTGGTGAAGAGGAGTGGTGGTGGATTGGATGGGATATGGCGGAACCACCTTCGTCACCGCTCTCGGAAAAGAACAAATTCTGGAAAGGGGTTTTCGCTGTTGGAGGGATCATGTCCACTCTTATTATCTACGGTGTCTTACAGGTACTTACTTCCATTACCAACCCCCCACACTAATTTATCATCATCTTTTTAATTACTTTGAATTAATTACTTTTTCTATTCTCTGCTGATTTCACATCTTTTGTCTTTATATACTAATCATCATGACTCTCAATTTCCATTGAATTCCAAAAACAATAACTTGTTGATTTGTGCACTGAATAGGAATAAATTATTATCCAAATGAGGCATTAACAACTTTTCAATTTAAGAGCGGGTTGATGCCCTGCACTTTGGCTTTCAAAAATAGTCCTAAACTCATTATATTGGTTTAGTAATTCATAGTTCAAGCCCTCATTGGCCAAACTTTTGAAATTAGTTAATTTGATAGTGTAGATGGTTGAGGGTGAGTAGGTGGTGCCCTTTGGGTAGTCACCGAGATTGCTGTAGACCCTTTGAGAGAGAGAGAACCTCTAAGCTTGCCGGAGGAAAATAGCACGCAAGGAGTTGGTGACATTCTTTTTATTGGTGGGTTGGGACTTGGAGGCCAACTCCACCTGAACGCACTATGTCATGTCCTCTAGTAGAGACAAGGGGATAGGTCACTCGTCCTCTTTGGCTTGATAACTTGGAGGAGCTAAAGGCCACTAACACTTTTGTTAGTGCTGCCAAAAATAAAATACTTAGAGGTCTCGTTTTGTCTGGTGTGTTCCTTAGTTTGGGATGAATGGAGTACACCACCTCCCCTTGTCATGATTTGGAATTTTTTTATTTTTTATTTGGGGATCTCTCTCTCTAAAATTTATCCAGATGCAAGTCCCTCAAGGAGGATGAGTGCCTTGATGAATTTTCAACTCTGGCTTTTGAGCCAAATATCTTTGAAGGTCTCACAATAGAGTTATGGGGTTGCTTAGATTCCCCATGACTGTGGACTTGTTTGATCAACTTATTTTGTAAGGTAAAAACTGTTAATCGACAAGTAGAAATCAAAAGCATACCCTCCCTCCAATTTTCTGATAATAAACTTTTTATTTAAATTATTTCTACCTAATAAGTTATAAGTAGAAACCACATTAAATAGTTTAACACAAACTCCAAAAAAAAAAAAAAAAAAAAAAAAAAAAAAAAAAAAAAAAAAACTAAAAGCAACCCATATAAGTTGCACCAAACAAACCCTATAACACTAACCCAAGGGTCCCTAGGCCTCGCTCTTCACGTGGGCTGCCGTGAGAGCATTAGGGTATCTTTTAGAGGCCACTAGAGAGAGCTCTAGAGGCGATAGACCGATGCATGAGACACAATTGGGGCAGAGAACTGCTTTAAGAGTATTGAGTGGTGTGTCATCGTTTATGAAGTACTGAGACTCCATCTTAGTTGTTGTAGTGATGTCTGACAAGTGTCGGTCACAAAAATGCCTTGGACACTCTGGGACATGTGTTAGACAATTATTGTCTGTGAAAAAAAATGTTATTGTCTTATTATGAGTTATAGGCATATACAATTATATCAAAAAAGCACTACCATCTTTGTTTATTTATTTTGAAATAAGATAAAGTTGGCAACAATCAACTTGGAAAGTTCATTAGTGTTCAACTTGTAACAATTCTTGAGTTTTTTTATTTTTAGTTTTTAAAAATATTTTCTTAGATAATTGATAGTTCAAATGACAGAACTGTTCTCAATATTTGTTGAAGTCAATCTTTTCCACACAAAATTTAGAGGACTTGTCATGGTGTTGTGATAAATGAGTTGAGTCAGTTGACATTTAATCTCGTGCATTAGAGTCTAGGGAAATCCTCATTCTTTCAAAATGTGCTAATACATATGCTAGAAAGGTACCTTTCAAAACCACTGGGAACGGGAACCACTGAAGCTAGAAGGTGTAGACAGAAAAGGTGGTGATTTCACAAAAAGGAAAGAAAAAGAGGCCAATTATGCACTACAAATTGGAATAGATAGATCTTATAAAAGAAGCCACCTCATCCATGTAACATGGACTGAGGAAGAGGTGTCAATTATGGTTGTGAGTCAGCACATCAGATTTACCTAATGGTTGTAATTGAGAACATGACTGATTAGATTTAAAGAGTTCATGTTTTTTTTTGTGTTTGACTTATTATATAACTTTTCTGAGATGGGTACTTCACACACCTTTTCTAATATAAACATGCAATTATGGATCGTATAAAAGAAACTCTTCACAATGCATAAAACTAGGATGGAATTTGTTCATCAAGTTTGCTTGACAAGTGTCTTGGGTATGGCCATCAAACAGTGTGTTGGACTATGAAGCACAGGTGCGGGTACGGGTACGGGTACGTTATGGGTACGCCGATACGGAAAAACCTAAAAAAAATAAGATACGAGTACGATTGGGGTATATCAATAAATTTTTTATTTTTTTATAATTTATAGTTTCGAATTCAACCTATAATCAAAGTTTAATACCAAAACTAAAAGGAAAAATTATAAAATTGAAAGAGAAATCATAGTTTAATAATACCAATACTAAAGCAAAGTTCATAGGTAGATTTCATGCCATTAAATAAAAGAAATTGCAAAACAAAGTTTCATTCCAAAAGCGAGCTAAGTAAAATTTGAAAATTTGAAATTTCAATTTTCATTTCCATCAATTTCATCATTGAAGAATACATCTTTCATCTATGGCACATCAAGTAAAGGATTTGCATTTTCAAGTAAATCAAAACTCTCTAATAAATTAAATGTATCTCCACCAATATTCTATAGCTTGGTGTACCTCCGATACACCCATCCTATACCCATGAAGTACTCACAGAGTACCCAGCTGCCAAAGAATGTATAAAAAGTACTCGGTACGTATTTCAAGTACCCGGTGCGTATGCAATTCTATCGGTACGAGTAGCAGTACTCGTACGAGTACTGTAACATTTTTGGAGTATCTATGCTTCATAGGTGTTGGATAACTTTCAATGTCATTTGTCTTCTGACGTGGCATATAGTTAAATCAATTAACTTGGCATGCTTGAAGTAATACACAGCGCCGCCAAATGACAAAAGAGGGGACTGACTTATGTACCTCCACTTTTGCACCTGAAGCATCTAGGTGAGGAATGGTATTTGATGTATTGTACTCTGTAACATGTATCAGCTCTTGACCTTTTCATGTGCTATAAGTTTATGCAAGAGTTTTAATTATGGTGGCAAAATGGTGCACTCCTGGCAAAAGCAAGAGGGATTATAACTTTGGGCTACAAATGGAATAGTAATAGCTATCTTGCCAGAAGCATCTTTTAACTACATTCAGAAGAGAAAGCAATGATGCGTCTCTTCTCTTTTGGAATTTTAAATTCTTTTATTTTCTTGCCCATCACTCAAATACAAATGGTAGTTGAAATTTTTCTTGTTTTCACGTCTACATAATAAGTTTAGTATAGATAAGAAGCTTGAATCCATTATGCCTTTAAACTTCTATAACCTTGAATGGTTGCTTGCTTCTCAGTTTTCTAATACTAATTATCACTTTCCTGCCTATTTATTTGAGTTTGACAAATTGTTATGGTACTCTCAGTACGCAAATGGTTGATAAAGTTAATTTCCTTGCAGGAAAAGATCATGAGAGTTCCATATGGAGAAAAGAAAGAATATTTTAAATACTCATTATTTCTTGTTTTCTGCAATCGTCTTACAACTTCCGCAGTCTCTGCAGGCGCTTTGCTGGTAAATAGCAATTGTTGTTAATTTGTTAATTCTTGTAGCCCCACAAGATGATGTGTAATTTGGGTTCATGGAGATCTTAAGCATTTCACAGGCACTGCACCTCTATAGGTTGTAATCTAATTAAATCATCTGGTTGATTATAATCTTCTTGTTACCAATGTATACATTTATCCAGGCAAGTAAGAAAGCATTGAACCCTGTTGCTCCACTTTATAAGTATTGCCTCGTATCAGTAACAAACATATTAACAACAACATGCCAGTATGAGGTAAGCTGTATTCTATTTCAGTGTTCTTTATCATGAAATCCAAGGAAAAGGAATACAAATTGAAATAAGATTTCTGAAGTTTTGTTTGAACTTTGCTTAATTTATAGGTTCATTTGAAGCTTGAGAAGTAATAAGAATCTATACATTAATTTTGTTGATGTTGAACGCTTTCTCCAGGCACTTAAATATGTCAGCTTTCCTGTTCAGACACTCGCAAAATGTGCCAAAATGATACCTGTGATGGTACGTTGGTGTCATGGGTAATTATGGCAGTCACTATGTTGTACTTTTGAGTTTTCCTAGTAGACAAAATTGCTTGTGTCATATAGGCTATTGTTTGTTAATGTTATCTAATTACTCTTGGCCACAATTGCTGTTTTCCTAGAAATATATATATATATATATATTTTCTCTGTATGTTTCTACTTATTGCCGCCTATTGGTGTTGTTGCCATTCCTTAAGAAGATGAGAGCTGATCATTTTTGTTGTCATATTTTGCCCGTTATTTTGTTTTGATTCTCAGAATCAAGCTCTGAAAAATCCCTGTTGTATTTCTCCTGCCTCTCTACATTGCGACAGATGCTTCCACCATCAAGCCAGTGTTTTTTTTACGTATTTTTATTTATTTATTTAATAATTATAATCTCTCTCTCGCTCCCCCCCTAAGTTTCTGGGCAGGGAAGGGTTTGTGTTTGTTAAACTCTAAGAAAGTTCTTGTGTGTAGAAAAGAAACATTTTGCTTTTCTTTTTAATTTCCAATTTTCTTAATAACGTATATGATTCAAGACATCTTTGGTCGCTAGCTAGCCCTTTCACTCTGACTCTTCCACTGTTCATTAATTGATTGAATTATGCAAGGATTGTTGTATAAGTTAGCATAGGTTCAAGTCAAATGAACTCAGCAGGCATAACTGCAGTTTCTTGGTCCTGGCTTTATAAATCCTCTTTACCAGTCAGCTCTATTACTTAGTTTATTTGTTGTCATTTACGGGACAAAGTGTTGGGAAACTAAGAAATAACATGCATATAAAATGAATGTAGCTGAGATGAGAATGCTTTGATGGATATGTAGTAAGACTAGAAAAGATAGGATTAGAAATGAATATATTCGTAAAATAGTAGGAGTAGTACCTATTAAAGATAAGTTGGGAGAGAACATATTAAGATGAGTTGGTTATGTACAAACAAAGACCTATAGATGCAATAGTAAGGAAGAGTGATAGGATCACTGTAAATGGAGATGCTAGGGGGAGGGAAGACCTAAGCTAACAAGGGATGAGGTAGTGAAAAAAAAATTATTTAATGTAATTGGGCATATAACTTGATAGAGTTGAATGGCGAAAAAGGATTGATGTAGCCGATCCCACTTGATTGGGACACAATGCTTGGTGTGGTTTGGTTGTTTTTGTGCATCATGTGTGGTGTTGTTCATCATCAACGGACCGGTTAATATGGATCTCTCTATTTCGTGTATGAAAATTGTAATCCTGTATTTTCATTTACATGTTTTATGTGTAATAACCAACTCTAAGTGGTGAACTTTAGAGGGGAGTGCTTAGTCGATTGCTTGGTCAGAGTCTCGGTTTTGGGGTGTTCTATACAGTTGGGTGTCAGGAAGAGTGGATCTTGATTTATTTGTTTTTTTAGACTTTGTTGATTGTTGATTATTTAATTCTAAGAAGTATGGATACTTCTAAGAAGGTGACGTATCCGTGTTGGATACCGATACTCTTTGGACATTCTTAGGACACGTGTCCGACATTCTTCAAAACGTGTCCTATTTTTTAAATTTTTTTAAAGACCCGGACACTCTTTGGACACTTGGAGGACACACATGTCAATCGCTTAAACATATCAATTAGAGACATGTGAAACTAATTATAAGTTTGAACAAAACAACTTAAGATATAATAATAAAACAAAAATCATATAAATTTATAGGAATTAATGTCAAATTACATTTTTTATTATCTTTGAATGAAATATTCATATATATAAAATATAATAAATATATAAAATTATATAATTTCATGTGTGTCCCCCACGTGTTGTGTCCTGTATTTTTTGAAAATTAACGTGTTGGTGTGTCTGTGTTGTATTCATGTCGTGTCACGTGTCCGTATCCATCCTTCTTAGATTTAGTTGGTTAAGTCCCTGTTTGAGGGGTTGGTTTTTGTATTCTTTTGGCATCTTCTTGATGCTTTCGTAATAAATCTTTATTTATCAAAAAAAGAAAAAAAAAAAAAACTTTGGATGATTCTTTTTTGTATTACTTGCAGCTTTGGAGCACAGTCATCATGCAAAAGGTATACAGGGCGCGCGACTATTTACTAGCTTTTCTAGTGATGCTTGGTTGTGCATTATTCATCCTATACCCGGTACATAACTATGCTTCTCTACTTCTATTGTTGCATGGTTTCAGTACTTTTCCTTACGTTTTTGCACCCTGAATGCTGGTCAAGAATATTAACATGATGCTCAATATCACTTTCCATTGCATACTCTAAACTTGGTTTACTTTTTTCAATATTGGAATCCCACCGTGAACAAAGTCGTTGGACATTGTGTTTGTATAATTTATACATTAATGAAGGATAGATATTTACTTTCTTGAAAAAAAGACGTGTGCTTTCTTCAATGCAGTGACTAACCCCATGGGCCATTGTCTAAAGGCCATATACGTATAAATATCTATCCTTCCTTGTCATGATTACAAAAATGTCCCTTGGTTCAATTTTTATTGATTTACCACAAAATTGGTCTCTCCCTCGTCATGTTGTCTGTGACTTGAGTTACTTGTACAACACAGTAAGCTGCAGCCTTACGCCTGCTAGTGTATTTGTGTATCATGACCATGTTCATTGATGTATACATGTGCTTCAGAAATGTACTTCAATGCCATTTGATGACTAATGGCAGAATCATTATCAATTATTACATTGAATTAATTGAGTGCCCCCCTTTTTTGAGTTTCCTAAATGAAGTGTTGATTAGGACAATGACTTCTTTTCCAATTTATATTTTTGTATTTGGGAACTCAACTCAAAATTCTCACATGAAGGCCCATGAAGAAAACATTAGCCGATTCATAATTAAACCTAGTAGGTATCGCAATTCAGGAATGTTTTCAGTATGTTCAATGGTTTTGGGACTCATTTTAAAATTTCTGTAATAGAACCTAAAAGATGCCCCAAATTGACAACTTTCCCATCGACCACGTGTATGATATCTTCGCAATGTAAAATCTACCATTTTCTTTTTTCGAAAAAAAGAAGCTACATATCTATTAATATTTGCTGGCATAATTTATCTAATATTTGGAATGTTTTGAGGACCCCAATCTGCAGGTTTTAATTTTTTGCACACTTGTGTCTTATGTTTATGTGTAATGGAACAAATAAATGCTTGTTGCAGGATATTTTCAGAAAGAGAAAGAAATGGTACCTTACTGATGACATTCATTGAGAAAATAAAATATTAAATATGTCTTTTTTATGAATATAAAATTTTAGAAGGGTCCACTTGGATGGTGCCCTTGTTGATGCCAGTAACCTCTGTTATCAGAATCTTACAATTCGTGATTTGATTCACGATTCAATTCTTAATTTTTGCAAAATTGATACGAATCTATAGATTAATCTATTTTGGAAGTGAAACTCTAGTGAATCGCATGATTCACAATCAATTCACAATTCGATTCACTTTTTACAATTCATGTAATTTTTGAAATTATTGTATCCAACATATTTCAAATTTTTTTTCTCTATCTTTTTAGTGAAAATGACATACTATAACTTCTAATAGCGTTTAATACCAAAATAACCAACATATATATATGATTTGTTGTTATTTTAGTAATTATAGAGTTTTTAATAGGATTCAATCAGATTTAGTCAGACCTAACATATTTTTAACTTTGTTCTCATTTTTTTTTTCCCTTTAAAAAATCATAATACATCTTCTGAAAATGTTTAACATTAAAGTTACACTATGAATTATCTATTGATATTTTATTAAATTGAATATAATTGAATATTACATTACACGTGTGAGGTTAGTTATACCTTTTAAAATGTTTTAGGCTTTAAAATAAAATATTCTAAATAATTTTTTCTTATTACTTGCTCACTGTTACTTAGAAAAGTATGTATGCTTATTGTCTAAACATCAATATCTTTATTAATTATTGTTACTTTGAAAATTGATAGTTTATCTATTTGGTTATTATCTTTATTAAGAAATATCTAAAAAAGAAAAAAGGTAAAAATGATGATCTTACATAGGAACCTTTGTTAACTTCTTATCTATAACTACGTGATTATCATTCAAAATAATATTTTCATTGATTTAAGTCTAAATATTTCATATTCATAAGATATATTTAATATCTAAATGTGTAGATATATGTTTTTAAGTAAGTTAGAAAAAGTGACCAAATCTTTACAATTCACAATTTGATTTGTGATTCGGTACGAGGCCATTTCAATTCACGATACAAATCCCGATTTGACAACTATGCCGGTAACTTGTATTGGCTTTTGTAGAAAATTTTGCATGAGCTGACTAGTTTCCATTTTGCATTTGATTGTAGGCAGCAGGTGATATAAGTCCATATAATAGAGGAAGGGAAAGCACAGTTTGGGGTGTTTCGCTGATGGTTGGTTATCTTGGGTATTGCTTCTTAAACTCGTTTCCTGTCATTATTTTTCTGTTTGTAAACTTTATAATTATTTCATGGTATCATGTATTATTTCTTTGTTTTTTCCGAGCTGGTGACATTGGTTGGAATTTATGTGACAACACACATATTTCTCCTCCATTAAGCGTCTGTTGGAGACAATGACAGAAAGTGCTGTCATCTACACGACTCATGCCTTTAAAACACGTCCTTACTAATAAGGCATGTAAGCTCACATACATATAATCTTGAGATTGTGGGTTTGAATATGAGGGCAGCCACTTTGTGCAAATTATGCCAAAGGTTATGTCTCTATCCAATCTATCTCTCCTAGACTCTCCATCTAATGGGGACTAGACTTGGTGTACTTTTTTATTTTTTGACATTTTGTTCTATTTCTTTTATCTATTATATGGGTGCAACAGATGAGCTATTAGCTTTCCTTCTAATTAACCCAAATATATGTTGGGGAAATGCTGTTTTTTGTTTGCATGCATTTAAGTGCTTACTTTAATTTTTCAGGTTTGATGGATTTACAAGCACATTCCAGGATAAACTATTTAAAGGCTATGATATGGAAATACACAATCAAATATTTTACACAACATTGTGTTCTTGTATACTCAGCTTGACTGGTAGGTTCTCCATCCTTGTATTTATCTGGTTGAATTCTGTGAAATTTATGTGCTGCCGCTGGTGTATCTTAAATAATGGTTCATTTGAGAGCTTGATATGTATTATTGTTGGGCCCATTTCCTAAAAACTTAAGCTTTTGGGGACTAGTGGTGATCTAACTTTATTAACCTTTGATTGTTTGGAGGCAGTGTGGGGTTTGGTGTATCAGAACTACCCAATTCAATTGGCTTGGACATGGTCTTGTTGAGCCATAGTTTCATCTTGATGTATGAATAGTCTAACACAAGTAGGAAGTTTTTATTGCAGTTTATAATCGCTTAGGATCTATGCAAGTTCTCTCCTATGCAGCGCATTTGTAAATGATGAGATCAAGGTTTCAAAATTCAGGTTTAGGTTCAGGTTCAAGTCAAACTTCAGTCACCAAGGATGTGGAGTTGATCTATGGAAGTTTGATGGAGTCATAACACTCATGCAAGGATTTAATCTTTGTTGAACCTTTTTCCTTTTGGGTGTGAACCTGATTAATGGAATACAATTAAAGTCATGCAAACAGATGACTATATTGTATGTAGTTCAGCAATTCTACCCACTGTGGACTTCTTCTTTGTTGAGTTTCTATGCACTATGGACTTGCAGACTCGTGCATCATAGAATGCATTATCTTACTATTTATAACCACCATCTAATATATAAAGCCTCCATTCAATATGTAATTTAATATTGCTACTGTAGCTTTGGAAGGTCTCAGCTTTCAGTTTAATATTCCTATGGTGGCTTTGGAGGTAAAAGTGCACTTTATACACCATGGAAATTCACTTGGGATGCATCAGAGGGGCAAAGCCTTGATTTTGTTCCTAATCTGATCTAACCTTGCAATTCCATAAAAGGTAGTTGTGTTTGTAGGCCTGAACCAGTATTTTAATGGAAAAATGTCTTGTATCATGTTATTGTCTACTAAACCTCTTCGGCTAAGTGGGTAGGTAGTAGTTGAAGTTATTTTGTGAACTTGTTTTACCCGTTATTTCCTATTTTGAGCATACTATTACATCTTTGAATTTGCTGCGTTGCGTTTATGAGGCCAATGACTAAATTTTGTTGGCTTTTTGTTTGTTTGTTTTGTTCAGGTCTAATATTACAAGGGCATCTCCTTATGGCAATAGATTTTGTTGCTAGCCATCATGATTGTTTTTTGGACATTGCACTGCTATCCACCGTAAGTAATCTTTGTAAATTAGCAGAATCACAAGAATAAAGTTCATAAACTAGTTTATAACAGATTTTCCAGTTCTTTATTTATTTATTCTGCTAATTTTTATTAATAATCTTGCTGTTATGTCCTTGTACCAAAGCTGAAGTACTATTCTCCTGCTATGTGCACTACTAGCAGACAAAAAGGAAGAAAATTTTCGACTAACATTTTTTTTTTTTGCAGGTAGCAACCGCTAGTCAGTTTTTCATTTCTTACACAATTCGTACATTTGGTGCACTAACGTTTGCTACCATAATGACCACAAGACAGGTAAAAAGATAATTCCTTTAATTATATATATAATAAAATCTTATTATTTTTATTTTTTTTAATGTCATTTGCATCTGTGTTTTTGATTTATGGTTCCTATGAAATTTTCTTGGTTGGTAAAAGTTGGCGAGCATTCTGCTGTCGTGCATTTGGTTTGCTCATCCCCTCAGCTGGGAACAGTGCATTGGAGCTGTAAGTCTCAACCTCAATCCTTTCTGTTTCCTAGCTAGATCTTGCAGCAGCCCAGTTACACTAATTGTGTTTCATTGATCAGGTTATTGTTTTTGGTGCCCTTTATGCGAAAAGCTTTTTGAGAAATAAATCTCAGAAACCTTTGCATCCAGAACGTTTGGAAAACTTGGAAAACAGGGAATCAATTCCTCTGAAGGGGAACCCCTGAGTTGGGATGTTCTTGGCTTGCACACGTTGGTGTTTGTCTTATTGATCATGGATATATTTGCCAGTATGAAGAAGCTGTGATGGTTTTGATGGGAGTGATTTTGTCCTCCTCCAAACTGAAATGGCATGCTATTTGGATTCTTCAAAGTGGGAAGGATACTCCTGTCCCGAAAGCTAACCATAGATTTTATGACCCCTTCTGTCCCGGTTTTCTGGAGGGATGTCAAGCTATGTACTAACTAAAGCAACAAAGATCTGTTTTGTTTGTTTTTTGTGTTGTTTTTTTTTTTTGGGTCTTCATTTTGTTTAATTTTGATTTTGTTTTGCTTTGTTTTTCCATTCAAATATATATAAGAAATCGTATAATAGGAGCTTTTGTAAATTGACTTTGACAGAACAGATTAAGAAATGATTTGTTCATGTCATGGTCTGATACCATTTTCTTGTTTCTTCTGAACGAGTATGAGCATCCATTAGGCTGGCTATTATGTTTTTGGGACAAAATTTGCTTAGCAAGATGCACTATCACTCTTCCATCAGTTTCACTGTACCAAAATTAAATCTGGCATTGTTGTAGTAAATCGCTATATGTAGCGATACATTGTTCTATCAGTTATGTAATAGTTTATCATTTATTCTTAATTGTAGTCGGACTTTTTGCCAGTACATTTTTTTTTTTTTGGGGAATATGAAATATAATATTTTATCATTTTATCAGGTCATCCGACTGGACATCCGGCTGTACATCATTATTATTATTATTTTTTGAGAAATATGATAACTTTTTCTAGAACCTTCTGGAAGCTGCTTTGGGCAGGGTGGTTTGTATAAGAAAATTATAAAAATAATTATTTTATAAAATTAAATTTTAGAATAGAAAATCTGAGATGTATATTTAAAAAAATATTAAATAAAAAGAAAAGAAAAGTATTTTTTTAGTTATAATGTGTTGAGTTTGGCGTGGACACATCTCTTTGTTTTGCTGGAAGCACCCTCAAAGTGTCAATGCTAATAGTTACTTTTTGAGAAATTTTACACACTATTTACTCTCTATCAACATATTTAATGAATTTTTTTATTATATTTGTCCTAAAATGAAATTATCAAAATATCCATTTCTTCTTCAATCAAAACCCTAGCCACTACTTACTACTAATAGCAATCGCTGACCATCAGCTGCCACTACCCACCACCTCTAAACGCTAACCCTAAACATGGTAATATCTTCATCCTGTTGCCGTCTCACCATCACACCCACCCTCACACAACCTTCTCCACCATCGCAAGCATCATGGAACCTAGATCTGAGAAGAAGACTCATCTTCTTACCATTCAGATTACCAGTATCGAAAGAATCGCCTCCATTCGGAAATCAACCATTGAACCAATGAATTTGGTTCGACTATCAACATCTGAACAAAACATATTGGTTTGACCTTCGACATCCGAACACATTGGTTCTATAGTGTACTTATGAACCTTACATATTAGTTCGATATTGTATTTTCGAATGAAACAGAAAATGGTATGTTTATTAATTTTTTGCAAGAAACAGAAAAAACCAGTAATGAATTTCAAAATGGAGGTCTTCTGTGGAGGTCCTTCAATGGAAGTTTACTGGAATTTCAAAATCTAAAACACAATTTTAATAGAGGTTCAAATTTGGTGTGTACGTTGGGTGAGTCTGTAGATAGGGATGGCGACTGGAAGTGGAAGGGAGGTGAACGGTGGTGTTGCGTTGCCGCTGGTGAGGTGGTTGTTGGTTAGGGTTAGAGTTTAGAAGATGAAAAAGATAAGGGTGTGCACATATTTTTTATTAAATGGGTATATTTGGAATGTGAGGTGCGTGGAATGAGATAAATACTTAAAAATTAAATTACTAAGTGAGTGGAGTGAGAAATGATGTGCACAGAGACAACATGATGTATGGAAATAGAATTTTCCCTACTTTTTTTAGTGTACAATTAAAATTATTTTGGTTTTGAAAAAACTTTTTGGTTGCGGATTAGTTAGTTCTGTGTTGGTGCAACCTAAAATAGAAAGTTCAAGTTGATCATTTTTTTAGAAGCAGAAAAACACGTAATATGGTATTTTCACCATTTCAAAATATTAGTATTTTATTTCAGTTTTTATTATCCAAAAATATTAATTTATTTTCAAAAATTAGTGACTAAAAGAACATGAATATCCCATTTTGTCCTTTTGCAAAATTCATTATTAATATTTTTAAAGTATAATAATTTTAGGAAAATTTGGTCAAAGCCCCTTCATATTAAAACTTTAATGCATTGAAAATAAGCACAAAAAGTTATTATTGAAAAGTTCAGCACATACCGCTTTTACCAAAATATCCTTAATGACTAATTTAATAGTTTAAACTTTAAAATGATAGAACTTTTAATTTAGATATCAGTTTTTAATAAAATTAGTATTTTTAAAATTCTCTCATCAAGGTTTATTAAACAAAATCTAGGTTCATTATGAAATTCTTTATAATAATAATAAAAAATTACTGTCGAAATTAACATAAACAGTAAAAATTTATTTTGTGTGTTTCATAGTAAACTTTTAACTTTTAAATAATAACTTAACATAATAAAATTTTACTGTTAATTTAAAACAGAGCATTAACAAATAAATGACAGATTACGTATTATTATAGCGAAACACAATAAAATTTTACTGTCATTTAAACAAAGCATTAGCAAATAAACATATTACAAGAGTAAAAATTTATTGTTTGCTCTAAACAAGACATTAACAACAAAAAACAGAGCACATATTAGAAGAAAAAACACAACTAGTAGAGATAAAAATTGTCAACTGTATGAGCACAGAAATAATCTTCTCGTATAATCTTGTTGATCAAGTTTGCACTCCTCCAAACGTCGCCGCTTTGCCACCTAAAAACAAAAACGTGAGCTAGTCGGCGGGTGTGTACCGGAAACCTCTTCGATGCCTAAGTCAGCAAATAGACAATAGACACAAAAACTCTGTGTATTCTAGAGTAAAAATTGAAATATCTGTCCATAGGTCCTGTCATGAGTTTTTATAGATTCTACTTGATACAATCCTAGTAGGATTTCAACTCTCCTTATAGGAGTCCTTATAGGAATCATACTCCCAGTGAAGAGTATCTGTCCTGATAACACTCTACTCACTACCAATCAAGTGGGATGGTTTGCATAATCCTAGTAGGACTCTAACTCTTCTTAGTAGAGTCTTTCTAGGAGTCTCATGCCCAAGAATAATGCTTATCCTTAGAACACCGTCATCACTGCAAGCCAAGTGAGATGGCCACTCCTTTATGCTGGGATATACATTCCTGACCGAGCTACCTTATCTCGGTCCCTTGCCGTTCGAGCCGTGTAACCGGAAGTCGATTTACCGAATTGCACCCTGCCGAGCTACACATAGCTCGGCCCTCTCCATTGACAACATCTCGGTCCGATAAAGGACTACCTTCAGATAGCTAGGTCCAGCCCCTAGCAACCCATCTCTGACTGACCTAGTGTCTTATTAGTCCAAGACTAACGCTACATCAGCTCTTATCTCGACCTATTGCGCAGCCTAACTTTCAAAGAAGACTTTTCCTAGCTCGGCCCAATTTGTTCACAAATTACCCTCTCAATTGCCCCTTAATTCCATCTACATAGCATGTTTGAGATTATTTTCCTCCAACCGAGCTAAGAACGCCCAACTCTGTTGAGCTAGAAAAGTTGTTTGGTTTCAATAAGTCTTGTCAGTTGCTCAGCACGTCCTTCCACTAATCTAGCATGTGGCGTGCCCCCATTAGCCCCGTTCTCCAGTTACAGCCGCCATACCAAAAATTTGAATAGTCCTGCCTTTTTGCCTTCAACGTATATATCCTTTGAGTTCGCAATCGTATGGCGAGTCGTTCTTTTTGTGTAACTGGGCTATATGTCCAACCTTTTGTAATCATCTTCCAATTAATGAAATTTTTTGATCTCTTGGCACGGTTACTATGTTTCTTTTTCAATGTTTTGCATCATTCCGACTACATGTCTAGCCAAACTAATTAGCTTGGCCTTACCTGATCCTGCCAACCTTTTTTGGCCGAGATACGCATCTCTGCTGAAGAATCCAAAAAATTTGTTGGTCAAACCTGTGAGCTTGCTTTGGCTGAGGTAATTGTCATCCCGGCCAAAGAGTGCAAAAATTTGTGTTGGTCAAACTTGCTAACCGCCTTTAGCCTATATCTTGATCTCGGCTGAAGGGTGCAAAAAAATTTTGTTGGTCAAACTTGCCAATCGCCTTTGCCCCCTAGTTGGGTAAGGAGTCTAAAATCTTTTTGTTAGTCAAACTTGCCAACCGCCTTTAGCCTAGATCCTAATCTCGGTTGAAGGGTACAAAAAAGTTTTGTTGGTCAAACCTGCCAACTGCCTTTGCCCCCCCAGTTGGGCAAGGAGTCTAAAAATTTTTGTTCGTCAAACTTGCCAACCGCCTTTAGCTTAGATCTTGATCTCGGCTGAAGGGTGCAAAAAAGTTTTGTTAGTTAAACCTGCCAACCGCCTTTGCCCCCAGTTGGGCAAAGAGTCTAAATTTTTTTTTTAGAAAGAGTTGGTCAAACTTGCCAACCGCCTTTACCTCCTGTTGGGCACAGATTTGTTAAAAAGAGTTGGTCAAACCTGCCAACCCACTTTGTCCCCAATTGGGCAAAGATTTTTGCGCAGTCAGTCCTTTTTGTCGATCGTATTAATTTTTGCTGAGGGTGTTTTGTCTGACATTGCTGTTTGTATCGGACTCTGCCCTGGCGTACATCCTATCTTCCTTTACCAAGATATGTTGGTGCACTTTCTCCATTAGGGCTTCTATAGTAAGAGGCGGCGTCATTATCATTGAATCTTTTAATTTATTGTTAGCCGGCAAACCTTGTTTGTACTGTGTGACAGCTAGGTTTGTGGGGCAATCTCCAATCTGATTAAAAGTCTCCTAATACCGATTATTGTAGGACCTCAATGTTTCCTTCTCGCCTATGTCTATGGAGAGAAGCTAGTCAATTTCCATTGGCGTCTTGGTGTTTGTTCTGAATCTGGTCACAAATGCCTCTGCCAACTGCGTCCATGAGGCTATGCTACCTTCTGGCAGCCTTTCGAACCATATTAGACCCAGTTCGCCAAGGCTGGAAGGAAACATGATACACATTAGAGCCTCGTTTCGCCGGTATACTGCCATAACCTAGCGAAAGTGGCTGAAGTGCATGTAGGGGTCCGACTTTCCCTCATAAGTGGTGAATTTGGGCTAGTGGAAGCCTGAGGGTAGTAGTGCATTCTCAATTGCCGGAACGAACGACGAGCTCAGTAACCTTGCTAACACTTTATCTGCTGGTTCGTACGCAAAGTGCGGCATTGGCATCCTTACCTCGACACTCCCATGTGTCATAGGGGCCAATCGCTGTAGGGCTGAAACCCTACAAGGGTTGCGAGCCCTTCCTCCTTTCATCGGGTCCTCTCTTCTAGCACTGTTCGCAGGTCTGCTGACCTAGGCAGCTCCGTGTGCTTAGATGTCGTTTGGTGTGTGTGCGAGGGCTGATAACTGCTTCTTTCCGTATACGACCTTTCAGTCCTCGTTCTCTCAGACCTGGAAGTCTTTGATTGAGTGTCGCCTATTCTAAGGCTCCTACTTTCTTTTTGTGATGGTGTGACTTGTCTGTTACGATCTTCTGAGTGGTAAGAGAGCGTGTTGCCTTTGCGCCTCTCTTCCGTTGCCACTCTTTTTTCCTTTATCTGGCGCTTCATAGTCTCCATGTCTGCCGCCATCCTTCTTATTAATTCGTCTTGCTCCCTCACGCGATTCTCCAGAACTTGAGGATCCAACCTCTGTCTCTGCCTTTCAGGACTTTGAGAGCGACGAGGACTGGTGCTCCGTCTCTCCCGTGTGTCCCTTTGGGAGTTCCGTCGCTGGGGGTCTAATTCTGCCATGGGTGGGATAGAAGGTAAACCTTCACGCCTCTTGCCCCCCTTCGGGGTTTGCCCATCAAAAGCAGATTGTGGCAAATTTTCATTGTGCGCCATTGATTTCAACTAATGAGGAAAACTTAATCAAAAGGTCTTGTTCTTTATCTTTCCCACAGACGGCGCCAATTGTACGAGCACATAAATAATCTTCTCATATAATCCTATTGATCAAGTTTGCACTCCTCCAAACGTCGTCGCTTTGCCACCTGCAAACACAAACGTGAGCTAGCCGGTGGGTGTGTGCCGGAAACCTCTCCGATGACAAAGTCAGCAAATAGACAATAGACACAAAAGCTTTGTGTATTCTAGAGTAAGAATTGGGATACTTATCCATAGGTCTTGTCAAGAGCTTTTATAGATTCTGTCAGGCATAATCCTAATAGGATTCCAACTCTCCTTATCAAAGTCCTCATAGGAATCACACTCCCAGTGAAGAGTGTCTATCCTGATAACACTCTACTCACTACCAACCAAGTGAGATGGTTTGCACAATCCTAATAGGACTCTAACTCTCCATAGCAGAGTCCTTCTAGGAGTTTCATGCCCAAGGATAATGCTTATCCTTAGAACACTCTCATCACTGCAAGCCAAGTGAGATGGTCACTCTCTTATGCTGGGATATACATTCCTGACCAAGCTACCTTATCTCGGTCCCCTACCGTTCAAGCCGTGTGACCGGAAGCCGATTTACCGAATTGCACTCTACCGAGCTACACATAGCTCGACCCTCTCTATTGACAACATCTTGGTCCGATAAAGGACTACTTTCAGATAGCTAGGTCCAGCCCCTAGTAACTCATCTCTGACCGACTTAGTGTCTTATTAGCCCAAGACCAAACTACATTAGCTCTTATCTCGGCCTATTGCGCAACCTAACTTCCAAAGAAGACTTTTCCTAGCTCAGCCCAATTTGTTCACAAATTACCCTCTCATCAACAATGATTGAACAAAACTTCAAGGCTATCTCAATCAAAACCAAATGAACTTAAAGTTTTACCAAATCGATCAATGAAGAAAAAGTGATGAAGAAAAGAGCAATATGTTGGGGACTGCAATGATGAAGAACTACTAACTACAATCCATGATGAATAACTACGAATTAGGATTGATGACCTAAAGTCAAAAACTTTGTAAAGGTGTGGGTTTTGATTTAGAATTTTTGTTAGAATACTGGTGACAAACTAATGAAAGTTCTTCTTTGTTGGATCCAAGCTATTGGTTACAAACATTGGTACGTAAGTTTTGCACAGAGATTGTAATCAAGAAGGAACATTCAATAGTGAAGAAAGAATTATGAACATAAGTATGTTTCCTTCACTGTGATAATTATTTATACAGTTAAAAAGGGTAAATACGTCTTCAAAATTCAATCTTGCCACTCAGATGTCCTTCATGCATCATGAAAATTAACACGAGGGACCTTATGGATTAAAACTTATTTTGGTGGACTTTACACATGATATCTCTTATATGAGGGGCTTTTCACTAATTTTCCCAGTTAGTTTTAGAAAGTTAATACTTTTACGTTGTGTTTGGTTGAAGGATTTGAGAAAGAATTAGGAAGTGAAATGAAAAAGTTATGTGAAACTATGTGAAATATAAGTATATTTTATTCATATTTTATTTACTTTTTTCCTTTCCCTTTCTAAATTCCTTCACAAATCCTCTAACAAAACACAACATTGACGTGTAATAATTATATTATCAAAAAAAAAAAAAAAGGATTTTCTAAAAAGAGACTAATATTTTAATACAAATGGAGTATTAAATTTGACACATGAGAAAGGCTTACTCTCTTATATTTTATTCATACTTTACTTTTTTTTTTTTCCTTTTTAAATTCTTTCACAAATTCCTAACCAAACACAGTTTTGAAGTGTGATAATTATATTTTATCAAAAAAAAATTGGATTTTCTAAAAAGAGACTAATCACAAAGAGTAAACAGAGTATTAAATTTGACAAGCGGGACAGGCCTACTCTCTTGGTGGCTCAGCTTGGTCTAGCTAATTCACCCAAAAAAAATTTATTCACCCAAAAGCTTGGTCTCGCCTTATTCTTTGAACTATATTCTAGTCTAGAAGCTTGGTCTCGCCTTATTCTTTGAACTATTCTAGTCTGAATTATGCTATTCTCATCATTTATACTCACCATTTGCTCAACTGAAGTAAGTGATCCAATGATGGTGTAAATAATTTATGGGAATTTATTCTAAAGATGTTTTTAAACACCGAATTGATAAACACAATAAAAACAAGAATTATTGGTGAGAATTGAGATTAGTATAATCTTATGCCTTTGTTTGAATTTTTTTAATAATAATGTATAGGATAGGGGAAATTGCCAAAAATCCTAAGATTTAATCTTGAGAACAAAATAAATCTTAAATTTTTAGTTTTGTTAATTTAAACCATACTCTTTTTATTTGTTTTCGATCAAAGCCATCTACCTATTTTTATTAAGTAAAATTTGACCCAAAAATAGTGTTTTAGATGTTTTATGTACACACTTACATTGAGTTTAATGACTAAAATATATTTTTTCGTCAGTTTTTACTTAACGGAAATAGAAGAATAGTTTATATTGAAAATAAATCAAAGAGTAGAGTTTAAATTGAGAAAATTAAAAATTTTGAATTTATTTTGTTATAAGAGTCAAACCTCCAAGTTTTTTTTTTTTTTTGAAATTTTTTCTATAATTTTTTACCATTGCCAACTATTCATTAGAGTATTATAAATCATGGGCTCATTAAATTAATATATGGAGACATATAATATGATAAATAAATTGTGATAAAGAAAATGTATTGGAAAAGTCCAGAAATTCATATATATCCGTTCATTGTTAGGGGACTTACATGTAGGTCATAATAGGTGAAATTATTATCCAATAGATCATATGATAATTAATAGTATTGTTTTTTATCAAATACTATTAAAAAATATCAGCAATTATTAATTTTTAACGACAGTTAAAAATTTTATTACAAAAATGTCACTAATTATAAGTTTTAGTGACAATTTAAAAAAATCGTCATAAAAAAATTAATTAATTTTTAACTTTCAGTGACAGTTTAAAAAATTCGTCACAGAAAAAGGTCTATAATTGTAAGTTTTAGTGATGATTTATAAAAATTATAACAAAAAAAGTCACTTATTATTATTTTTTTGTAACATGCGAAAAATCATCACAAAATTATTTTCAATTACGATTTATTAGGATTTATTTTCAATAACACTTGACGAGAATTAAATTCAACTATTAGAACCTATTAGTATTTTATTTTGGGGTGAGTGATTATATAATGGAGATTAAATTTGCGTAGCATAAGTATCATATATAAAATAAATCCGAACCACGAGATAATTACTGAATAATTAAACGTAAGTTTCTAATTATTACTGAAAAGGATTTATCCTAACATAATCTTATCCATGATTAGGATGACAATCATCTTCCTATATGAAACAAGAGTGTTGCTCGTGGTTGATGACGTGGCAAGATCGCAGCCATCGTTTGAACAGAGCATCGGAGACCGACGACAGCGCTCGCGGTAACACATACCGAACCGACCCTCTCCGTAACAAACTCCTCTCTCTCTCAATTCGCGCAAATGTCAACTATCAATTTCCAATCACACTCCAACAATAATACCGCAAGTAATGTTAATCCATATATGATTTCAGTTACAATCCTCCTATAAATACAAGCCAACCCTCATTAATCTTCTTCTTAATTAATAATAATAATAATAATAATAATAATCCTTATGGGTCGTTTTGATTTTGATTTTGATTCATTGGGTTTTGTTTGATTGTAGTGATTTGTGAGAGTGAGAGATAGAGAGAGATGGAGATTGATCTAACACCGAAGTTGGCGAAGAAGGAGTATGGAGGGAACGGAGGGGCATACTATGCATGGTGTCCGAATGAGCTCCCAATGCTGCGTGAAGGCAACATTGGAGCAGGCAAGCTTGCCCTTGAGAAGAATGGCTTTGCCCTCCCTCGCTATTCTGATTCCGCCAAGGTCGCTTATGTTCTTCAAGGTATCTATTTTTATTTTTTATTTTTTATTTTTTATATACTATCTTATGATGCTGTCAGAATTTTATTTCTATGTTAATAATATGTGGGTATGTCTAGATTTCTCATATATACGGAGTCCGGATTCTCGACCGTCTTGCCCGGCAGCCGTTTCCAGCAGCCCCTAAAACGACGTCGTTTTGGGGGCAAATTTCCAAAAAAAAAAAAACCGCAGAGGAAGAGAGGGAGGAAGAGGGAGGAAGGAGGAGGGAGGAGGAGGAGGAGGAGGAGGAAGGGAAGGGCCGGACTGGAGGAGGCCATAACCAGTGGGGGAGGAGGAGGCGGAGGTGACGGCGGTGCAGCTGCGGCGACGGCGGTGCAGCTGCTGCGACGAGCTGGATCAGGCGACGATCGGACGGCTGCGACGGCCGGCGGCGAGGCGACGAGCTGCGATGGCGAGCTCGCAGCCTCCTCCCTCCTCCTTCCTCCCTCTTCTCCCTCTCCCCTCCCCTCCCCTCTGGTTTCGAAGAGAGAGAAAGCAAGAACGAAGAAGAAGAAAAGAAAAAACAAAAAATCCCCAAAACGACGTCGTTTTGGGAGCTTTTGGGTAGGGCTGCCAGGCAGGGCGGCCGAGGATCCGGATTCCATATATACGGGGTTGTTATTTAGATCTTTTCTCTGGTTTTAATTTAATTTAATTCTTTTCATATGAGATTGCCTCTGTGATAGTGTGTGCATATCATTCAACTTTTTATTTTATTTGAGCTGTCTCTATTTGTAAAGATTTCTAGATTTTTCTCAATATTTTCCTGTTTTCAAGGTTCAATAAAACTGTGTGCAATTTTCGAAGTTGTTGTTTGTAGACAATCTCTGTTACCCATGTTCCACATGGTTCGATTTATTTCCATACACCAGTGTCATGTCTTTTTGTCAAGATAAAAAGTTTTTTAGGAATAAAATTTGACTTGAATTCAGGATCTTAGAGTTTTTTTTTGTGAAAATCTATGTTTTTGTTTGTTTGAATATTATTATTTGGCCCTATCAATTTGTGGGTAGTTATTGGTTAATTTTATTTTATTATTGTAATTAGTAAATACTAGAAGACCGTACAAGAGTGAGCTTCTCTCTTTTTTGTTTTTATTTTATTTTTATTATTATTTTTTTAAATTGGTAGAACGGAAAGCTAACAATAAGGTCTCGTTTGAGAACATGCTAATTTAGTAATTTTTTGACTATTTGACTAAAAAAATAGGTAAAAAAAAACTTATATATTTGGGATGACTTTTTGACTAATTACGAAAAGTAGTAAAAGAGAATCTTTGACTTTTTGGTATGAGTTGTTGACTTTTTGAGTAAAAGGATAACTTTTTGATTTTTTGATTAAAAAGGTAAGTCCCCAAACGGGGCCTAAGACTTGAAAGCCTTTGGTATTATGTGGTATATGATTTTGGTTGTTTAATTTGTAGAATATAGTTAATTTGGTATCTAGTCAATTGGATTATATTATATTAATTTTAGCCTTTGTCTTATGATTTATTTTAATTTTTAAATATTTTTTTTTTCAAGCTGTGACTGATTCTGTCATATTTTACGTATTCTTATATTTGGCTGGAGTTTATTCATAAGGTACTGGACATGACTGCCCCTGGCCTTGTGCAGCACTCAAGTGCTTGCAAATGAGGGATTGGGGTTCTACTCCCCTAGATGCGTGCTAATCTAATAACAACAAACAATTAACTTTTGCCCATAAAAGAAGGGTTTGTGTCATTTTGGTCGTTGATTTATTAATTGTAATACATTTGATTCTGAATTTTGAATCTTATTCTGAATAAGAACAATTGAATATACTATTGAATTTTTCAAGATCAAAATTGTCAATTTGATAAAATATAAATTAATTTGACAAAAATAAATGTCAAAAATTTATTTTTGAATTTTTAAAAATTATTTCTACCTACTAAAGATAGAATTATATAAAATTGATAAATCTTTTAGACATTTATTTATTTATTTTTTACCAAATTAATTTTTATTATGTATTTGGATGATGATCATTTAAAATTAATTTTTAAAAATTAATCATGTAATTTTTATCAATTTTACATAATTTTATCTTTGGTGGGTAGAAATAATTTTTAAACATTTTAAAATATTTTTTTGACATTTATTTTTGTCAAATTAATTTATATTTTATCAAATTAACAATTTTATTCTTGAAATTAAGTAATTGTATGTTTAATTATCTTTATTTAGAATAATATTTAAAATTCAAGATCAAATACGTAAAGTGAAACAAGTCCAAACTATAAGGACTTTTGCCCATAAAAGAAAAGAGAAAGAAACGGAAAAAGAAAAATGGGTATTGGATAATTGGCGATGACTAAACAACCTTGTTTGAATACTCTATGTAAATTTCCTAATTCACCATAGTTGAATATTGGTACTTACAGGATTCCCAATGTCTCCTCTTTCTTGGTTTCATAGGCTTTCCCAATTTGGTATTATGAATGGGAGAAGCACTTCAACTGTTGTAATGATTTTGTTGTTATAGTCCTGTATCTCTAGCCTCATCTCTCTCTCTCTCTCTCTCTCTCTCTCTCTCTCTCTCTCTCTCTCTTCAAAAAAAAAAAAAAAAACATGTAAACTGCATTCTCCAATTTTTATTTTTATTTTTAATTTGATCTTTGCCCTGTTTAGGTCATGGTGTTGCGGGAATCGTCCTTCCTGAGAAAGAGGAGAAGGTACTTGCAATAAAGAAGGGTGATGCTATTGCCCTCCCTTTTGGTGTTGTCACATGGTGGTATAACAAAGAAGACACTGAACTTGTAGTCCTCTTCTTGGGTGATACCTCGAAAGGCCATAAAGCCGGTTCCTTCACCGATTTCTTTCTAACGGGCTCCAACGGAATCTTCACTGGCTTCTCAACTGAGTTTGTGAGCCGAGCATGGGATTTGGAAGAAAATGTTGTGAAGACCATGGTTGGAAAGCAAACAGGCAATGGTATTGTCAAGCTCGATGCAAGTCTCAAGATGCCTGAGCCAAAGAAGGAACATCGTGATGGGATGGCATTGAACTGTGAGGAAGCTCCATTGGATGTCGATGTCAAGAACGGTGGAAGGGTGGTGGTTTTGAACACTAAGAACTTGCCTTTGGTCGGTGAGGTTGGACTAGGTGCTGATCTTGTTAGGTTGGATCCCAGTGCAATGTGCTCTCCTGGTTTCTCTTGTGACTCGGCTCTGCAGGTGACTTATATTGTCAGGGGTAGCGGCCGTGTTCAGGTTGTTGGGATTGATGGAAAACGTGTCTTGGAGACAACTCTCAAGGGCGGCAATTTGTTTATTGTGCCGAGGTTTTTTGTGGTTTCGAAGATTGGTGATCCGGATGGCATGGAGTGGTTCTCTATCATCACCACGCCTAAGTAAGTATTTCTTGCATGTCGCCTTTTTTATTTTTGGTTATTTTGATTGATAGGTCTTCACACGAATTTCCATTATTTGGTTGCTTAATAAGAAAAGAAGAATTATAAATTGCTTAATTTTCAAATTATATAACTAATGTGAATAATCTTTATGTTGTGTTGTGTTTTATTGCAGTCCTATTTTCACACATTTAGCAGGAAGTATTGCAGCATGGAAGGCCCTGTCCCCTCAAGTGATCCAAGCTGCTTTCAACGTTGGATCGGATGTAGAACAGCAATTTCGCGATAAGAGGGCTAAAGAAGCCATCTTCTTTCCTCCTCCAAAATAAGAAAAGAAAAAAAAAAAAGCACTTTATTTTTATTTTATTTTATTTTATTTTAAAGTTTTGATCAATTTAATAATTTTTTTAGCATTTTTTAAATGATTTTGTGGTTTTGGTATTTGGCCATTGTTTTGGGATTGAATATCACTAAATAAAATATGTTCTTATTTTCGATTAAATTTATGGGGGATGCACCAATAAATCCCAAATTAATAACTTATGCACTGTTTAGTCCTAAAAGTTTTCTTATAGACTGAAAGGTCCCATTACAATGTTAATAACATCAGATACAATGTTAATAACATCAGAGTCATGTTACAAACATTGGATTTCAAACATCTAATGTTCATCAAATTTCAATAATGTTTGAAAATATAGGATGAAAAAATCTAATGTTCATCAAATTTCAATAATGTTTGAAAATATAGGATGAAAAAATCTAATGTTCATCAAATTTCAATAATGTTTGAAAATATAGGATGAAAAAATCTAATGTTCATCAAATTTCAATAATGTTTGAAAATATAGGATGAAAAAATCTAATGTTCATCAAATTTCAATAATGTTTGAAAATATAGGATGAAAAACATCTAATGTTCATCAGATTTCAATAAATTTTGAAATTATAGAATCAGATTTCAATAAATTTTGAAATTATAGAATGAAACATCAGATCATTTACATCATTCACATCAAGTTGATGTAAAAATGGGACTAAATGGAGCATAAGAAAACTTTTAGGACTAAATGGTTCAACGTTTCAAAAACTAGGACTTATGGGTAAATTGGGTTCTTCTGTTAGGATTTGCCTTTTCTCTCATTTCATGAACTCCCAGGAAGTAATTACACAAGACCTCTATTTTTTCACAACCTATTATGCTATTGATTATTGGCTCGGTTCATTTGATTAGGATTTGGTTCGTCTTTGCTTTATTGCATTGATTCAAGACTTGTTTGGATTTGGTTAACATTGTTTGTGTTTGAACCCTTTCGAGGGTCTTGCTGCCTAAGGGTGCATTTGAAGGCAGTGTTGTTTGGAATTTTCACCAAGGCGGAGATTTATTGGGAATTGGATCAAATTCCATTTGGATATAGGGGTTGTTTGGTTTTTGAGTTGGGCTAAAAAATCAAAATGGACAAAAAAAGGTAAAATATCATAAAAGGACAAAAAAAAATTGCCAAAACAAAGCCAAAAAGCCAAACAAAAATTCCAAACAACCAAAAAAGCCTCACGCTAAAAAAATTAAAAAATCAATTAAAAAAGTCATTGCCAAACGAGTACATAGCCTTTGGATTCATGTATTGCATTCATTACATACATGTATGGCATTTATGTGGATACAAACATTTGGATACATTGTAATTGAGTACATGGATTGTATAAGAATACCTGCATTTGGAGTTGGATGTATTTGGAGACGAATTTGGTGAATGAATTTAGAATTTCATTAGATGTTTCATCTCCCATCTTAATGACTAGTGCATGCATGAATTTATCATTGATTCATGTATTTGAATATTCATCCCCCTCATGATCAATGTATTTGGAACTTGTGAACACCATATATATGGTGGGTCATTTCCAACCTTGGAAGAAGGAAGGAAGACACGAATTAGAGGGAATACATGAGTGGTGTGGCCCTGTGAGGGTTTTTTTTCTTCTCATTGGTAGGCCTTCTGGTCTTTGCAAGAACTTTGTTCTTTGTATGATCTTTGTCACCATTGTAGTGCCTCTCGGTTGAAATCATGTTTGGTGAGACTTTGTGTAGATAAGATTTTGGATTTGGTGAGAGAAGTATTTGGGTTTGGTGGAGTACTGTAAGAGTTTTCTGCGTCACCATTGTAGTTCTTCGGAGTGTAGTTTTATTTCATTAGTGAATCATTGTGGATGTAAGCTTAGGCCAAACCATATAAATCTTAGTGTTGTGTGATTTATCTCTCTTAAATTTGCATAATTTATATTGTTCATCTGCTCCATATTCATACAAATTAATTATCTTCGCGGGGTTTGAGTTTTTCCGAGACACATTGCACGACTCAATTTGATAGCAGCGAATTTGATAACAAAGCTTCCACTGCGCACAAAAAGTGTTCTTAAATCTCAATTTGATGGAGTTTTCACACTGCCTTTTGGTCCAAATTCTACTTCTCTTTCAGCCTTGCTGTTACATGTCTTTATAAATATTTGTCAAGCAGTAGGGGCACTTGATATTATTTTTTTTCATAAGGAAAAAGAAAATATACATATGTATTGGAGTCCGGCCCGATAGTTATTAGGGTTTGGGATGTGTTATTTGGTCCATATTGATTAGATTGTCTGTTCATTGTTTATTTTTTATGTTGGGCTTGGGACGGGAAATTCTAAGTCGGCCCATTTATTTATAAAATATTATTTTAAATTATTTTATATTATTTAATTTGGTTAGAACTTTAATATAATAATAATATTATGCCACATAATTGTTAATGTATCATTTTATGTTTAACTTTTAGCAAAAGTTAAAAAATTTGTAACATAGAGTATCAAAGTGAAAAAAAAAAACACAAATTTTAAGAGAACCAAAATAGAAAAGTGGTTAAACATAAAGGGAAAATGTGTAAATTATTCAAATTTAATTTCAAATGATTAAATATCAGATTAAGTGAGTAAGTTTGAGATTTATAAAAAGAAAATTTAGAACCAAACTTGTAATGGTTTTATATAAGCTTCAAATTAAACTTAAGATGACATATATTCTAATTAGTGTAACCCAAACTCAATCGAGCCAATGACCAACCTTACATTTTGCTTTGTATTATTATTGTTGTTGTTATTCATGTAGTATACATTTTATAAAATTTGAACTCATAATTTCATATCACAAAGTGTTTGTTAGTCGATATGTGCATAAACTAAATAATAAAAAAAATGATGTTATTTCATCTACCAATTTCAATTACTGATCCAACACATATTGAAAGGGCTATTACACAGTATCCTTGAGGTATTTGACAATACAGAAATTATTTCTATGATATCTGAAATTAAACTGTTCATACTTTTGCTAATGATATATCCAAATCTCTTATTTATCTAGTCGTTATTATAATTAATGGTAACAAAAATTTCTTAAGTTAACAAATTTTGATTATTAAGATCCCGTTTGAGAATCAATTATTTTAATTAATTTTTAAATTTTTTTTTATAAAAACACATACAAATCGTAGAGAGTGTGATTTTTTTAACTACGAATCTCTCTCCTCAAACATGACCTAAATAAATATCAACATTATTTAAATTCCTTACAACGCAACACCCAAATCTCATTCCCATGTATTTATACTTCTACAATAACCATTTTCTCTTTTTTTCTTTTTATGGCATTTCAAATACCATCTTGTTATGTGGCACACTCATAGACCATTAAATGTTAATGTGATTCAGGTGGGATACGTTAAAGACTATTGCTATATGCACTAATTAGTGTATTAATTAGTGTATTAGTTGGTGATATAACATAATTTAAGATGTTTTTGGTATTTCTAATTCATATAATGAGTAGGGTCGATAATAATATTATAACTAGTGTTAATACATTAGTTAGTATACTAATTGACGCATGTAACACCACTTTATGTTAAATTCATGTGTTCAAAGTCGAGAAATTATTCAATATTCTAGGATAAGTTTAGTTGGTGCTTTAAATAAGTAGTTATTGATTTAAATTATGACATTTATCACTTTTGTGTTAAAATTTTAAAAAATAAAATATTAAATATTAATATGTAAGTAGAATGGAACATTACTAATTTCTCGTAAAAACCCTTAATTTTTTTTTACATGTCAGTTTAAGCATTTATTTAATTGAAGCTTGATGTTTTCAATTTTCAAAAGTCTGTCTCTTTTTTAAATGTGCAAGCTCTCTCTTTTTTCTTTTTTCTTTTTGGATTAGAAAGAAAGAAATTTTTGATACTGAAGCCAAATGGCACTTACAAAGAGGAATCCATCCAATAGGATAATTTACACTAAGCAAAGAAAAATTAGATCAAAAAATACACATGAGTAAAAGCTATGAAAAATTTAGACGCACAACTCGTGCGCATGCTCGTACTACAAAGCAAGGGTCAACTTAATCGGCGATAAAGCATGTCTGGGATAGATCTGTTGGCTATATATTTTGTATAGGTCAATCACAGTTCAACACGTGGCAAGATGAAAACAATACGGAAAGACAATTCAAATCTTCAATCGTAATCACACACGTGGCAGTTAGTATTGGTTATTGTAGATCTGCATAGCACTGAATCAGCAAAGAGATGCAAGATGACGTGGCTTTAACAGTTACTCATATATTTAAATTCAAAATCAGAAGGGAAACCTAATTGCAGACATGGCGTAGTGGAGCTAACTGTGAGGAAACATGATCGGCGATCATGGAGGGATGATTCAACGGTTAGAAACTCATTTTGATGGTTGTCATTGAGAAGTATAAATAGCAAAGAAGGCCCTAGAAAGAAGGCCCATACTCATATCCAAAGAACCAGTTTTTATCTACTTTATTTCCCTTCTAGTTTACATTTCTTATTCTTTACATTTTCTGTACTTCAAATTCCTGCACTGCACTTCATTCATAGGAGTAGTTTTAAGTAGTTTGTTACTGTAAACCTCTACAAGGCTATAATTTGCTGCTGCAAACCTCTACAAAGCTGAATCGGATCATTGTAAGTCTTTCATTTTTATTTAATAAAATGCTACAATTGCTCTTCATTTAATTGTTATTTGCTTAATTCTCCTAAACAAAGTCACTAGTAAAAGTCCTCTTCGTTGAGGCTGAAAGAACTGAAACACAATCGTCTGATAATTAGTTGGCAATTAATATTCTGTAAGGACTGATTGATCCTTGTTGGCATGCTTAAAATTACAATAATAACCTTCAAAAGCCAAAAAAGCCAGAATATATTTTTATCACGCCTGGTGGGACTAATTGAAATGGCTAGACGTAGGAGACAATGAGAAAATGAATGCTTGGAAGAAGGTGTGGAAGGAGAGACAGAAATACTTAATCCAGAAGATAATATGGTAATACATCATGTGGAAGTACCTATCTTATCAGAACCTATGGTCGAGCAGACCAGCACTT